GTTGGATTGGATGGTCCTTGTGGTCTCTTTCAACTCTATGATTCTATGATTCTAAGTCTACTGTGGACTCTCACACTTCTCCCTTTCCCCAAGGTGAAGGGAAACCCTGCTGCAGACTATTAGCAGGAGCTCTGAAAGGGAGGGCTATATATACCCTGCTAGTAAACCTGTGAAATTATAAACACCTGTTTGGAGCCTGTAATCAGGCAACACATTCTCCAAAGGCGCACAAGCACTTTAAGCGCATAACAGGTAAGGATAGATTAATCTGTCCAATAAAGATCTGTGATCCTTTGCTTGTATTTATCCATCTCAGTTCTCTTCCATTCCAGCGTGAACCTGTTTCCCCCCCCTTTTTTAAAAAAGCAAATCCATCTCAGTATTTAAATATGCATCTTAAAATGTATTTAAATGCATATTTTCCTCTTTCTCCCCCCTCCCTCCCTCTTGAAATATGTATGTAAATGCAAATTTTGGCATGCTTAAATTTCTGAGAGCTACTCTTGCAGTGTTCATATGCAAAAATTCTTGCATAGCTAAATTCCAAGGCATGCATTAGCCTGAGAGACACAGATCAGGTTGGTGCATAAAGCAATTTGCTGAGGTTAGTTTGTCAAGCATCTCCCTCTGAGGTTGACAAAAGTTACTTTTTTGGACTTCAGCTCCCAGAATCCCCAGCCCACATCCTCCATTTGTGGCCACACTGGTTGGAAGTGTTTGCAGATCAAAGTCCCCAGAGGTAACTTTTTTGAAGCTCTAATGCTGTTTACAACCTGCTATTTCACATTAGTAGCTGGTGGCTTCCTTACTGGTGCAGCAATGAATCTGCTACAGTTATTAGACTGAACATTAATGATATACCCAAGATGCTGAACTCATTTGGAGCATAGGGTTTGGCCCTTTCAGTATATCCTTTAAAGTTTGGACTAAAGCTGAGAACAGATTCACCTCCCCACTGATATGGAAGCACCCGCTTTCCCTTCTTTCTTAATGATATTATTGGGTGGTGCATAGAACAAGGTTTGTGTGCCCTTCTGTTTATGGCTCTCTTGGGCATTTAATTTAGCACAGCATGCACCCTAATAATGTTGTCTGTGGAAATGAGAGATGTGGAGATTATGCTGCATGTATTTGAGGCCAGATATGTTTTTTCGGGCTGTTTGGTTTTGATGAACTCGAGTGTCATACGATTACGGATGCACCCTAAAGTGCCGAGTGGCAATTATAATTTGCATCAGTGATCTGTAAGAACAAAACCAGAGGGTGGTTGTTCATTTGGGATTGTTTAATCCAGATTAAAATCACAGTAATCCTTTAAAAAGGTGCCTGTAGACATTGGAGGATGGGGCGGGGGGGGGGGGAGAAGAAAGGTTTTCTCACTCTAGCCTGAAAAGCAAACATAGTCTGAAGAGTTGGTTGTGCTGATGGCAGAGTTTTTAAAATGCATGCACTGAAATGAGAATCCTCTTTGCTTGAACAAGCAAGAAAAAAGTAGAAAGCTGGGAAGGGTTCAGGGCGAAGCGTATGCATTTCAGACTCAGCCGGCACACTCACTTTCAGGTTGCATTTGGCTTGCCAGTGTGAGTGGGGAGCCTTTTAAATATGTAATTATTTGTTTGTTAAAGTATTAAGAGAGAAGTTAAATTGTTTATTAAATTGCAAAGGGAGAAAGGAGGGCAACATGAGCCAGGCAGTGAGAATGGATTGTACAAACCCTAAGATTTACTTTGATACAAATCAGTGGCTGGGGAACCCTTTTTTCCTTGGATTGCAACTCCCAGGGGCGCGAAAATGGCAGGGGCTTCTGGGAACTGTGATCCAAAAAAGTAACGTTTTCCAATTCTGATACTAAGGCCTGTATCTAGCCCTCTTTCATCCTTCTGTCCATGTGCTCAGTGCACGAAGTCAAGTGAGGTTGTGGCCATGGGATGTGTCCTGAATTGTGGACTATTTGTGGCCAATTTTCCCACATTGACTTGTGAGTAAGAACAGGCCGATCTTTCGCAGAAGAGGGATGGCACTTTATTTTAGAGAGTTTGTTCAGATGCTTATGGAAGCTGGACAGTGAAGAAAGCAGACAGGAAAATGACCGACTCATTGGAAGTGTGGTGCTTGGCCACCAAAAAGGATCAATAAATGGCTCTCTGAGAAAAAGTAAGCCTGGAATCTTTCTAGAATGGCTCTCCTGATGGGATTTGGGTCTAGGTTATTTGAAGGACCATATCTCCCTATAGGAGCCCACTGGAACACTAGGATCTTCAGGAGAGGCTTTCTCTCTGTCCCACTACCTTACCAGTCATGCTGGTGGGAACAAGGGACGTGTCTTTCTTGGTGACTACTCCAGACTTTGGACTACCTTCCAAGGGAGGCTAGGATGGTTTCCTCTTTGCTCTCCTTCCACTGGCCATATTCCATCAGGCTTTTAGAAATAGACTGTGATGGGCGTTTAATAGCCTGCTGTTGTGCTGTTTTGTTGTTTTGTATGTAGTCTTGTAAGGATGGCAAAGACAAAACCCCTCTGAAGAAACTTGCCAAGAAAACCCCATGAGGGTCATCATAAATCGGAAACAACTTGAAGGCACAAAGCAACGACAACAACAGATTTTAACTTCACAGATTGTTTAATTGCTTTCAAAATCCCTTTTATATTTATCCTTATTTTTATGTTTTTGTATAGTTTTAAAGCTTTATTGTTTAAAAGATGTTTTTAAGATGTTGTAAGCCTCCTTGGTGAGGCACCATGGTGTAGTGGTTTAGTGCTGGGCTATGACTCTGGAGACCAGGATTTGAATCCCTGCTCAGCCATGGAAATCCATGGGGTTACTTTGGCCAAGTCACACTATCTCAGCCTCAGAGGAAGGCAACAGCAAACATCCTCTGTACAAATCTTGCCAAGAAAACCCTGTCACCATCAGTTGGAAATGACTTGAAGGTGCATAACAACAAACTACAAAGCCTCCTTGAGTCCCATTACTGGGGAAAAGGTGGGATGTAAATGAATAAAATACTAATGTATTTTTGGTCATTTCCAACTTATGGCAACCCTTAGGTGAACCTATCATAGGGTTTTCTTGGAAAACTTCTTCAGAGTGGGTTTGTTCTTGCCATCCTCTGAGGCTGTGACTTGCCAGTGGGTTTTCTTGGTTGAACCAGGATTCAAACCCTGCTCTCCAGAATCATAGTCCAACACTCAAAACACTACACCACACTGGCTCTCAAAGAAGCCAAAATAACTAAACTTGTACTTTGGACATGCTGTGAGAAAACAAAACTTATTAGAAAATGTGATCATGTTTGGTAAAGCAGGAGGCAGTAGGAATAATAGAGGAAGACTGTTTTACAAGTGGATTGAAGTGGATATTACAAGATCTCAGAAAGGCAGTAGATGACCAGGGGTCTGGGAGGTCTCTCATTCATAGGGTCATTACTAAGTCAAAGCTGACTTGATAGCAATACAAATGAGAGAGGGTCTTGCTATGTTTGGGTTTTAAAAACTAGAACCTTTCTGCATTGACACATTTCTTCATAAGCTTAGTAGAAAAGAGTCCAAGCTTGGAAGAAAAAAAGGACAAATTTGCTTTACATTTAGATGTTTGGCTTCAAAGCTGTGTATATTTAGCCATTTTTTTGTAGCTCAGAATTAGGGTTCATGCTGGTCTGTGACTGAAATAAAACTTCTTCATCATTGCTGAATTTGGGTTGCCACATCTTTTTCTTTCTTTCCGAGAGGCTCTGCATCTTAAATAGCTAGATGTCAAGCATGGATACTGTTGTCCTCTTCATACTAGGAATAGAACCTACTGAGTTTGGCCAGGGCATGTCATTGAAAATTCCATTCATTTTTTCAGTTAGAACTTTCCAAAATTTGATAATTCCTTCATAAACCAGCTGGGAAAGCTCATGGTTTTGTTTTAAATGATGAATTGTTGCAATAAGGATGAACTGTAGGGCTACCAGATTTCAGGCCCAAAATCTGAGATGGCTCCTAGGGATACAAGTCTTGGTGATGTTCTAAGAGGCAATGTCATTAAGTGTGGTACATTCCCAGGTGAATAGAGGATGCCATTTAAGTAAAACACACTGAATCAAACATATCAATATCAATAAATGTAATATGTAAAGAGAGCTTGCAGTACCTTTGAAACTAGCTGAAAGAAAGAAGTTGGCAGCATGAGTTTTCGTAGACTTCAGTCTACTTTCTCAGATGCATTTGTTCATGCTGCCAGCTTCTTTCTTTCAGCTGGTCCCAAAGATGCTACAAGATCTCTTTACATAATGATTTAACAGACTAACACAGCAATATCTTTGGAATCTATAAATGTACTTTTCAAAACTGTGCTGATGCTCTTAGATTTCTACCCCGCTCCCTGAGGACTGCAGAAGAAGAAACAAGCCTTCTTTGTCAACCTACTTCCATCCGTAGGGTAAAGGATCATGAGCTTTCCATGGCTGCAATGCATGATGTTTCAATGGAAGTATTTAGTGGTAATATATGTTTGTTGAGAGCCAGCATGGTATAGCACTTTGACTGTTGGACTATGACTCTGGAGACCATGAACTGAATCGCAGCTTGGCCATGGGAACCCATTGAGTGACCTTGATCAAGTCACACTCCCCCAGCCTCAGAGGAAGGCAAAAGCAAATCCCTTCTGAATAATCTTGCAAAGAAAACCCTGTGATACATTTGCCATAGGGTTATCAGCACAATATCTGAAGATGTGTGGCATCCGAAGGCTCTCTAAAGGATGACTAAATATTCATCCAGGATGTGAGGTTAGTTTGCTTTGAAGCGTGTCCAAAAATAATCCAACATTCCTAAGAAGATGGTCAAAAGACTTACATTATCATACTTCTTTGTTAATACCAAAAAAATAGAAAATAAAAAATAAATTAAAATTATGCACACTATAATTAGCCATGCGTACATTTTATCTTGGAGGCAGCATGGTGTAGTGGTTTGAGCATTGGATCGTGACTCTGGAGACCAGGGTTCAAATCCCTGCTCAGCCATGGAAGTCCAGTGAGTGACCTTGGACAAGTCACATTCTCTGAGCCTTAGAGGAAGGCAAAGGTAAACCCTATCTAAATAATCTTGCCAAGAAAATCCTGTAATCTGTTCATTTTAGGGTTTCCCTAAGTCAGAAGTGACTTGAAGGTACCGGCACACAGTAACATGGAAAATGAGTAGCTGGGTTGAGAGATCTAAACCCAGAGGTCTGAGCACTTTTGTTTTTATGCCATGGCAGCTATGGAATGGATTGTTGCATGCATGTTGCTGATGATAATACTTTTAAAAAACCAAGCTGGTTGCCCTTGGTTTGCTGTGAATTGCTCAGCTTAGAAGCTTTATCTCTATTGCAGCTGTTCCCCATGGAGGGTCTGACTTGTTTATCAGGATCAGGAAGATTTTTTTCCTCCTAATGTTATCTTTATCCCAGGTTCAGCATTAGGCCAGTTGACTGTGATAGTTCCCCCTCAGAACATTTTTCCATCTCAATGGGCAAGTCCCAAGTTAGGGAAGATGCTATGACGCACCACATCCAGAATCACTCTCGCTCATTTTTTTGCCCCTCCCTGTACCCTTGTATATAGTGCTAGATCCTGATGGCAAATGATTCTGTAAATCAGCCCTTGCATTACCCACCTCAAGAAATGAGCAGCGCTCAGACTGTTATTTTTTTTAAAAGGTAATAGATTAATGCCAACCTTTTTTTGGGGCGGGGGGAAATAACATGCTCCTTTTTGCTCTGTGAGTATTAGCTTAGGCTGCATCTGTACTGAGGTAATAATGCAGTTTGACAGCACTTTAACTGCTGTGACTCCATTGAACAGAATCCTGGGATTTGTAGTCTTGTGAGAGATTTAGTCTTCTCTGTCAGAGAGTTCTGGTGCCAAAATAAATTACAGATCCCAGGATTCCATAGGATGGAGCCAGGACAGTTAAAGCAGCATCAAACTGCATTATTTCGGCAGTGTAGGGGCAGCCTAAGATAATGCACATCTTCCCCACCCCAAAGCCTGGCTTTGCCATTATAAATCCCAGGATACCACTGGATGGAGCCATGACAGTTAAAGCAGTGTCAGATTGTATTAATTCTGCAGTGCAGATGCTGCCTGAGTAACATACTGTTAACAGTCTTGTTAATCTCTTGCAGCATTAAAAGGAGGAAGAGAAGGGAAAGGGGGAAAAAAGGAATGTAGCAGCACCTTTAAGACTAACTAGTTTTTATTTTAGCAAGAGCTTTCAAGGATATAAACCCACTTCTTCAGATGCACATTGTTCAGATTCTTTGCTCACTACTGCAAAGAAACTACTGACTTTCCGTGAATATAAACCCACTACTGAGGGTTTATATTCACGGATACTCATGCTAAAATAAAAACCAGTTAGACTTAAAGGTGCTGCCACATTCCTTTTTCCTCTTCCCCATCCCTCCATTTTTATACTATTAACATGATCCTTGTGTTTTTTAAAGACAGCCAGGGTCCTGCAGTGGTTTAAGTTTTGGACTATAGGAGACCATGGTTCAAATCCTCACTCAACCATAGAAACCCATTGGGTGACCATGGTCAAGTCACATTCTCTCAGCCTAAACAAGATACAGTGGCAAAGCACCTCTGAATAAACCCTGCAAAAAAAATTAAAAAATCCCTAGGATAGGGCTGCCATAAATCAGAATTGACTTGAAGGCATTGGTGCATGAAGCCTGGTAGTTTAGAGTTTGATGTATAGTTTGTAGTTTTGAGTGTACTAGTCTGCAGTGTGTAAGTAGCCAGTGTAGTATAGTTGTGTGAGTGTTGGACCTGGACTCCAGGAGATCAGGGTTTGAATCCCTGCCCAGCCACTGAACCCACTGGGTGACCTTTGGCAAGTACCATCCTTTCAGCCTCAGACGAAGGCAGTGGCAAACCCTCTCTTGCCAAGAAAACCCTAGGATAGGGTTGCTGCAAGTTGAATTGCCTTGCACTGAATCTGCATTGCCAAAATAGTGCAGCTCGACACCCCTTTAACTGCCATGGATCCATCCTATGGAACCCTGGGATTTTTGGCACCAGAACTCTCTGTTGGGTAAATCTCTCATGAAACTATAAATCCCAGTGTTCCATAGCACAGCCATGGCAGTTAAAAGGGTGTCAAACTCCATTATTTCTGCAGTGCAGATTCAGCCTTGAAAGCGGAGCATTGTTGTCAGCTTCATGTGTTTTAAAGCATAGAAATGTGCTCAAAATATGCCCCCTGTCACTACCAATTACCCCCGAGAACAGTATTTCTGAAATAACAATTAAGTGCCAGTTGTTACACTCCTAAATTAATGACATTACAGATTGCTGTGACATTTTGTAAAAGCAACACAATCCCCTCCCAAGTACTGTGTTATGGCTAATGTCTTTATTTGTAAAATGTTTCAGTCAAGATCTGGAAAAGGAAGGGTAGTATTGTCTAGTGCAATCCTTTTTATGTTTATCTGTAGTTTCAATGAGCAAATTCTGATTCTGGTATCTCCCAGAAAATTCAATATTTTGCAAAAAAAAAAAAAAATGCAGTCAGCATTAAGGTTCTGGGTCTCATATTTGCAGCAAAGGGCTTGGAAGTGTGCAGCCCTGTCTGGTGCATGCTTATGAAGCAAGACTGGGGATTCTTGGACCAAATGGCCCTGAAAAACAAGGAATACTGTGAGTGTCTATTAGTCCCATATTGGAACACCTTATCTTTTAAAATACGCATGTAGCTCATATGTCCCTTCAATGATGCACGGTTTGCTCATATGATTTCTTCTTTCCCTATAAAGTGTCACCTTTGCCCACATGGCTCTGATGTCTTAGTCTATGAATGCATCAATACTGTAAAAATAATGCACTTTGGTATCAGTTTAACTGCCATGGTTCTATCCTACAGAATCTTGGGATTTGCAGTTTGGTGAGGTACCAGCACTCTTGGGCAGAGAATGCTAAAGACCTTGTAAAAATCCCAGGAGTCCATAGGATGGAGCTACTACCGCCTAAAGTGGTATCAAACTGCATTGTTTCTACAGTGTAGTTGCACCCTAATAGATGTTGGACTAGGACTTAAGAAGACCAGGGTTCGAATCTCTGCTCAGCCAGTGGGGGACCTTGGGCAAGCACACTCTCTCAGCCTCAGAGGAAGGCATTGGCAAATTTCCTCTGAAGAAATCTTGCCAAGGAGACCATATGATAGGGTTGCCATAAATCTGAGTTGACTTGAAGGTGCATAACAGCCAGTGGAGTGCAGGCTGAATTTTTCTTGAGGGGAAACTGATTTTTTCCTGCAAATAAATTCTATGATGACAATGTCTGTCTATGTTGCCAAGCTTTACAAATGAAGACAAACTGTTTATGCTGATTCCCTCAGCTGTTGCCTGGATGCTCTTGCAGACTGGACTGGATTTAGGGACAAGTGATCCAGACAATCTCCTGGAGGATCGGACATTGGAGGGCACCTGTCAAAAGCTATAGTGAGCCAGAATTTTATCCCCTAGCACAAGGTGTGGTTGTGGGGTTACAGCTGAAGTCTGTTGTTGCTATTATTATAACTGGCATTCTTCTGTTTCCTTTGATCCAAAAAGGTGAGCTTATTCCACAAGGTGACCTTGATAAATGCAAAATAGTACAGTACTGGCTGAGTTTCTTGGATGCCATTTTGTTAAAAGGGGAAGGAGCAATTGTATGCACCAGCCAAGTAAACTGAAGCTTTGGTCTCAGATTATGTTGTGGTTGATGCTGTGTGCCTTCAAGTCATTTCTAACTGATAGCAATCCTAAGGCAAACCGATCACAGAGTTTTCTTGGAAGATTTATTCCAAGGAGGTTTGCCATTGCCTTCCACTGAAGCTAAGAAAGGGTGCATCGACACTGTTAAAATAATGCAGTTTGACACCACTTTAAGTGCTGTAGCTCCTTTCTATGGAATCGTGAAAGTTTCACAAGGTCTTTAGCCTTCTCTATTAAACAGTGCTGGTGCCTCACAAAACTACAAACCCCAGGAGTCCATAGGATGGAGCCATGGCAGTTAAAGTGGTGTCAAACTTCATTATTTCTACAGTGTAGATGCACCTCAAATGTGACTTTTCCAAGGTCTCCCATAAGATCTCCAAGATTTGAACCCTGGTTTCCTGGAGCCCTAGTCTGGCACCTAAACCACAACACCATGCTGGCTCTCAGAATGAATTAATGGTGGTGGTTGTTGTTATGTGCCTTCAAATTGACTCAGACCTATGGCAACCCTATTGTGTGGTTTTCCTGATCAACTCGGACATATTCAACACCTTGGATAGATCCTTTACAGTTTGGATTAAAACCTGGAATGGATTTTTTGCCCCACTGATACAGCCTTCACTGATGGTTTTCCTAAACTTTCTCATGCATCCCAGAAGAAGTGGGAATTCTCACCTTTACTCTGAGTTTTTACTGTACTTCTTAGAAACCTTCAGCATCCATCTCCACCTGTTTACGAATGCAGAAGGTTGAGGTGGCATTCCCTTTAATCAAACACAGATTGTAACTTCTGATTACCAGTCATTTCCAAACAGAAGGGTTGTTGGGCACAAAATGAGAGTTTAGTTCTGAGATCGTGATCTGATTTTCACCCTGACAATCAGGATGATGTTTTTTTTTTTTTTGGGGGGGGGGGACGGATGACGCCTGCTGTTAAATCGCACAGTAGAATAAATATGGGGGAAAACAAAGAGAGCAGCAGGAGAGTTAAAAAAAGAAAAACGAAAAAGACGTTGGGACCAATCAGTTCATGTAAGCATCTGATATTCATATGCCTCTTTTGGCCTAGAAATCATAACAGAGATTGCATAAGATCAGGCATCCCTGCAAGAGTTGCAATCTTTTTGTTATTGTTTTCAGCTGTGACAGCTTTTCTGAGTATATTTTGGTCCTGGCTGAAATGACATCAGTATGACAAAAGCAGGAAAATGCCAAAGTGGACTCTATGTGTGTGTATTGCTTCTTGCCATGAAATAAGAGTTGACAACATGAATTTCT